CTGATGGGAAGCAGGGGAGGAGCACCAGCTAGCAGGTGAGCTGATGGGAAGCAGGGGAGGAGCACCAGCTAGCAGGTGAGCTGATGGGAAGCGGGACCGCCTGGGAGGGCAGTTTGTTTGCTTCTCTAACTTTCCAAGCCCCTCCCTCTCCTGCCTCTCTTTGCAGAGCTCCTTCTTGTCCTTTAGGCCTGAGGGCAAAAGACCTCCTCAAGCAAGTCTTTTCCAACCGCTGCCCAGGTCATTTCATCATCCTTGTTTTAGTTATTAATTGCTGTGTAACAGAATTTTCCCTGAACTCAGGTTAAAACAGCAAGATTTACTGTCTCACACTCCCTGCATGACAGGGATCTGGGATCTGGTGATCCTTCCTGTCTGGCGATCTCTCCTGAGGTGGCATCCAAGCTGTCAGCTGTGGCTGCGTTCATCTGGGCTTGGAGGGTCCACTCAGTTGTTGGTGGGTCTCAATTCCTTGGTGACTGTCTGCCATGTGGGCCTCTCCACAGGCTGCCTCAGTGTCCTAATGATAGGACACTTGGCTTCTCCCTCAGAGTGAGACAGAGCATAATAGAGTGACTAAAACGAGCCACAATAGCCTCTATAACTGATGCTGGAAGTAACTCACCATCTCTTCTGCCATGTTCTATTGGGCAGTGTGGCTGGGGAAGGCACAGGGCGTGGCTATAGATAGGGAGGGAGGCAGGGTCTTTGGGCCATCTTGGAAGCCCGAGTGGGACCGCAGTCCCACTTACTTCCTTGCTGGCACTTATCCCGGACTTGGAATCTCTTCTTTATTTGTCTACTTGTTGATTGTTGATCTTTTCTCCATTAGAATGAAACCTATAGCAGGGGAGAGACCTTTAGCTCACTCACTTCTGAATCTCTAGCTCCTAGAAAAGTGCCATACGATAAATATTATTGAGATAATAAATAGGTGCGATAAATAAATAATAGAACCAGACAGTCAAGAGTAAGAAGTCACTGGCCAACCTCCACCTAAATTTATATTTTACTGCATTGGTTTGTGATTATGTTAAGAGCTAACTTAAAAGATCATTCACTGGACAAAGAGGAAGAACATGGAAATAAATGTCTAGTTCAATTTTTTTAATGGCTAAATGATTTCAAAAGAGTTACCTGTGTTAGTCTTTCATTCTTGTAGGGGACGCCAAGAGTCAGACGACCTCTGAGCAAGATCTGCAGCTGAGGGGTGGACCCTTGGGCCATTCATCCACAGGTGCTCCTAATGGAAGAAGAGTCTGAGCCTTCAGCACGTAGTCATTTGTTAATTACTCCCCTCACCTATGTTGTACTGTCTCCATAAAAGGCTGGTGCAGAGGTTGCTTGGGGCTGCCCTGCTAAGAAGGGCTAGCCCACCTCCTACAAGCTTGTACTTCTAATCCGGGTCATGCCTGGTCCCTTTTCGCATTGATCAAGACCAGGGCCACCAGGGCCACCAGGGCCACCAGGGCCTGAGGGATTACGACACTTTCTACCAAATATAGGCTTTAGTAATCAAAATAGTCCAGTATAGTACATCATAGATTCAAAATTAGCTTTACATTCTAGACGTCATTTGATGGTAAAGATGCTGTGTCTAAGTTGATAGAACTTATATTTATAGATATGGTATTGGAGGTTTGCACGTAGTAGGTAACATGGGGACCTAAATGAAGCCTCTGTTGCCAAATCAGGGACACTACCCCGCACCTAGGCTGCCTTGGCTCCATGCTTTACATAATATCTCTCTCAAAATAATTTTTAATAATCTTATATAAAATGCTGTTCTCAGAATAACTTACTTTCATATGTGCATGGACTATTTCTTGAACACTAGAGAAATTGTATTAACGTACCATTATGGCCTGGGCTTTGAATGTTTATTTAATATCATTTAGTTATTTTTCTGACTGCCTGCTGTGTACTAGCACAGGGTTAGGTGCTGCATGTAAAGTAGGCAAGTGAGATATGTGCCCTGGTTTTAAAGAAGGACAGTTCTTATATTTTCTTTTCCTAATTCTCGAGGCAACTTGGGCATTTTTTGGAATTTTTGAAAAAACATGTTAATGTTTAAAAAAGCAAATCAACTCACTTATAAACCAGCTTCCAAATATTAACGTAACGTTTTGGAGTGTTTTCTCCCAGTGTTTCATGGATCTGTACGTGTCCTGCCCTATAATATGGTCACATAAGGAAAACAAGTCACATTTAAGGAAGGATTTTTCTCACATGTCATTAAATCTATTTTAGCCTTGAACCTACCTGGCTTTGTGTTGGCCAGTTGTTCCCTTGAGACTGTAAAAGACCTCAAGTACTTGCATAGTCTGGGAAAATTGAGAAGCTTTCTGATTTCCAGCCTGTTGACCATTCCATGATGGGGACTCCCAGGGGTCATAGCTCCCTAGGGACTACTATTTAGGGCCTGAGTCCACATAGACCATGCCCATCTGTAATGCTCAAAGAGAGCCAGGGAGTAGCAACTCATCCTTGGAGACCTCCATCTCTCTGGGCTTAAGGAATCAAACTCTTTTCCTGGGTCTGGCTCATGGCATTCCATTCCCCTTAAGTCCTACCCATCCCATAAAGGTCCAGCTTGCTCACTCTTGCTATGATCAGTCTTTAGAATAAATGATGGCTTTTGCCTTTTTTTTGAGGCAAGGTCACAATCTGTTGCACTGACAAGAACACAGTGGCGTCAGCATAGCTCATAGCAACTTCAGACTCCTGGGTTCAAATCATCCTTGTGCCTCAGCCTCCTGAGTAGCTGGGACTACAGGAATGTGACACCATGACCAGCTAATTTTTGGACAGGTGCTTCCCTCTTGCTTAGGCTGGTCTCGAACTCCTGACCTCATGTGACCCTGCCTTGATAGCCCAAAGTGCTAAGATTATAGGTGTGAGCCACCATGATTGGCCTGTTTTTGCTTTTAGAGCATTTATATCTGGTGGGGCAGAGAGACAATGAGGAAATAATTTTCATGTAGGATTGAACAATGGATATAGAATATACCAGGTATAAAGGTGACACAAATGGGACAGGCGTAAGCCTTGGCGATAGACTTTCCTAGATGTATTCAGATGCACTCCCTTAAGTCCTCTGACAATCAATGGTGTTTATTTTAGATCTGACTCTGAAAGAGTGGTAAGGGTTTGACTACTCAAAGTCCTCAGACGAGCAGCATCATTAACCTGAGAGTTGTTACAAATGTCATATTTCAGACCCTACTGGAGATCTTGATGTATTATAAATAGCATCACTCTTATCCCA